TTCCAGTGCCTAGCGAGGCCTCGGTCCAGCCCCCTCTCTTCAGGTAGCTGGGGGGAGAGAGCTGGGTCTGGGCAGGGGCAGGCGAAGGGGGGGAGAGGGAGGAAGGGAGCAGGCCAGGGCTGCCACGCCTCTGCCTGGCCTTCCCGAGCAGTGGGGGAGGGAAAGCCAGGGCTGCCTATCTCAGGGGGGGAAAGAGGGCAGGGTTGGTGACTGTAGCGCAGCCCCCTAGTCACCTTTAATTAAAAAAAAAAAGTCAAGCACGTTAAAAGTGTCCCTTTATTTATGGTATGTTATTAGGGGCAGGGAAAGATTCAATTTACCAAAACATTAAAATAAATCTAAAATGCAGCTGGTAAGTCTAGCTTAGGGCCATGCCAGTCTTTAATATATTCTATTTTAAGAAATCTATTTAAAAGGGACTGGTTATCAGGGTATCTAGAACATGAGTTATCAATTGTGACACAATTGTTACATGTTTCAAGTACTTTCTTCTTACTGTGCCCTGGTTAATTCTTATAAATAAGCACTTTATTGCCATTTATGAGCCTTCTGCTTTCACAGTACAATTGGAATGTAAACTTTATTAGATTGCTTATTTTGCTGGGGATGCAGGATAATAATTTCAATAATCAGAAGGACAATATGAAAGTTAGTATCTAGAAGCAGACAATGTAATTGGGATTAATCAGCTAACTGCTATTTGTTCCTTTAGAAATCTTCTGCATAATGCTTAAGGTAACAAAATCAACATTTAGGTATTTACATGCGAATGAGAAATATTCACTGAAATTAACCAACCAGCTTAAAGTAAACCCCAATTTCACAAATTTTTCAAAATGTTCCTGTAACAGAACCTGTCTAAAACAAAAAGAGGCAATACAAAAAGTAATAGAGGTACTAAGCTTGATCTAAAGCCCATTAAAATCCAGGGAAATTTTTCAATTTCTTTGGCTCAGGCACCAATAAATTAATTATCTATTAGTAAATAAAAGCAAATGAGGAAAAGTTACTAGTATACCTTCCTCTTTAAATGCTAAAGTAACAAAGCTACATCTTGAGTTACATGTGTAAATAATACCTAGCTCATGTAACAATTTATATCAAAAAATGGTAAACCTGAGATTTGTTTCAATGAAAATGGACACATTAACTTAATCTGAAAAAAAACTGATCTATAAAATAAAATACTTAGCACAGCCATCACTACATTAGTTTAAAATAGTTTGCCTTGCCGTGGTACATACCACAAAGCAAACCTGTCTGCTCTAGGACAGCAAATCTCCATAATACATTCAACTGTAGATATACGTATACAGAAGTCAAGACATTTGAAGTACGATTGTGTATTTGTTTTTTGCCTTTCTCTTCATTTCAAACTTTGATGAATATTTATGACATACCTCATCAATAAGCAAAATGCATTTTACCGAATTTTCACAAAGCATGTCAGACCTTTCAACTTGCAGAGAAAAGAGGAACTGTCAAGTCACAATCCTCCAGTATAACCGCAGTTCGTGTAACATGACACTATAAATATGGGGTCATTAATGCTTATTAATGGCAAGCAAGAAACCCTATGTTTAACTCCTGATGTCTGGGTTCGCTTGAGACACGAGAAAGGTGAAAATCTTTAGATATGCAATAAGCTAGAGAACAAGTGTTAAGCAATAAAGCTTACACAACCACAAGAGAAAGTTTTTTTAGAACTCAGAGGGTTACTGATCGAGTGCCATGGGAGTCTAAGCTTGCCGCTGAGATAAATGAAGGCAAGTTTCTCCAGAACCCCCCTGATCATAACTTCAGACACACTACTGGCTGAACCTCCTAAACCTGAGACTCTCTGGTCCAGCAACATATGTGGTCCAACAAAACCAGAACCAGATCTGGATGTTACCAGAACAGAGAGCCCTGGCATCTGGAAATGTGAGCCAGCCGGGAACGCAGTCGCAGGGGAGGACAGCGGGCTGGGGACCAGTGGCAAAGGACCAGTCAGGTCCCAAGCAAATTCCCTTATTTGGGACCAGTCAGGTGCCAAGGGTGCCAGAACAGGGAAGTCCAACCTGTAAAAACTCCTTTGGGCACAAAAGTTAAAATGAACCGAGAAGACAATGTAAAACCTCTCATCTTGCCTCTGCCTTTAATTCTGTTTCCCAATAGGGATGTAAGCGACTAGTTGACTACCCAATAAGCATATGGGGTCACTTGCCCACCCCTTGCTGCCTCTATCAGAGAGAAGCAGCAAAGGGGAAAGGAGCAGGAGCTAGTGCTGGGGGGGAACCAGCTTAAAAACCGGTTCCCCCAGCACCATCTCTGTGCAGGGGAGGGGGCAGAGGTGCAGCAGGGAACTGGCGGCACTTCTGCCTTAGAAATGTAGCAAGAGACAGCAGGGCTCTTGCTACATTTCAAAGATGGAGATGCCCTTATCAACTATTCGAATAGTCGATGCAAATTGCATCAACTGTTCGATTAATTGATTAATCTAAAGTTAACATCCTTATTTCCCAACAGTGGGACAGGAAAATCACAGGAAATGCCAGAAAGCTAAGCATTGTTACAGGCTAACAGCCACAGCCAGAGATCAAATGTGAAATAGCAGCTGTGAAATTGTCAAGAATGTCAGTTTCACTGCTGATAGGCTGCCTGCTGTGAACTGAGCCCAAACCCATTCAATTTGGCAGACCCAGCTGTAAGCCCCAAGTGGCTATTCATTACCCCACCTCCATTGGTGCAGCCATTCCTTGTAAGGACACAAACAACTGGCAGAAGGAGAGTATTATGGATACCAATAACTGATGTAATGACTGTGGTGGCTGCAGGTCAACCTACCTTAAGTCAACCTAATTTTGTACTTTAGGCAACCCCTTACCATAATTAGTAATGACATCACCACATATGTATAAAATGTCCCCCTCTAGTACATGGTCATAAATCATCAAGATAAAACACGATTAAAGAATGAAATTGAAAAAACAGATTTTAATTTAAACCATGGAAACTTCTCTCCACAGATGAAAGAACTGTACGCTTTTAAAAATGTTCTCTAGCTCTTAAAACACAAAAATGACATAGCCCTAACAGTGATATCATCAGCTGTAAAACCACTATTTGACAAAGGAAAAATTTCTACATCACACCGGCTCAACTAAAATACATAGTGTATTTTCCTTCTTTCACTCTAGTTTTGAATCCAAAACAAATACTCTGCATTAAATTTTTGAATTGGCTGCCACCTTGTGGCATTCTATATGAAACATCAGTTTAGGAATATTCACTATAAATTGCTCAATGCATGTAAAAATTAAAAACAAGGCAGTTGGAGAACGTATTTTTCTCTAGCAGTTATTTTTTGCAATACAGGAGAATCTTGAGACCCTAGAATTGTCCCTTTGCTAACAATTTTGTAAAAAAGAATTAAACATTTACTAGTTTCAAAGGAATATTTCGTAACAAGTCCTGCATACTCTTTGGCTACATCTACAATGCAGGCTTCTTGCCCAAGAACTGTTTATTCATCGTGGGGAGAGGAATAACTCTTACACAAGCAGCCCTCTTTCCCAACGCTTTACTGTAAATTTACTTGCGCAAGAGCACATGTGCAGTGTAGACGCTCCGCAAATTTTTGCACAAGAACAGCTAGGAGTGTAGACATAGCCTTAGGGTTTAATTAATCCTTTTCTACTGTCCCTCAGTACTAGAAAGAGTTCAGATCCACGCTGTCCTAGAAAAGGAAGCAAACACGAATGTCTTTAGGTCATAAAATATGTAACAGTATCCTCGTGCAAATGGTTCTATTGCTTTGCTGGAGAGAAACAGGTGCCCCTAGCACTGAGGAAAAGGGTTGGCTGAAATGCACGAGTGAACAAAACTTGTTTTAAATAGTGTGTGTGTGTGTGTTTGAATACTAGCATACACATCTAAAACATTTCATGAGTGGTTCTACACATAACATTCTGAAACAAGGCTCTTAATGTCTCACAGAGCTACAGCTTTTCAATGAGCAAGGGAAGGAAAATTATCTCAACGTCGTAACAGCCCCAGCAATGGAACAATGAGCTTGCTCATGAGTTATATAGCTTGATATTTGTTCTACCATCCACCACAACAGTACTAAAGCACCTTCCATACAAAACAGATTGACAGAGAGGTCCCTTCTGAACTTCACAGAGAATTTGGCTGTTTCCCTTTTGGGGTTATACTTAGCTCCATTTGGGACAGTTTCATATCTCTCTTCTTTAAGTTTATTAGGCACCCAGCTTCCTTCTGCTATGATCTCCTCTGCTCCAATCATTATCAGCAGGCCCCTCCTCAAACCTTTCTTTCAATCAGGTAAGTCAAATTCTGAGAGAAATCTGAGTTCAAAGTATGGGCAAATTGATCTTTTTCCTCATTACTAATAATCAAAAGGCCCACAGGCTCAACTGGGCTGGAGCAGCCCCCACCCTTTGCTCTG